GGGTTAGTGCCGCCACGGGGCTGGTCAAGATTTTTTTTTTCGCCCCTTCTCCGAAAAAAAAAAACCAAACTTTTTGCGGTTTGACGAAGATATTACCCTTCAGTAAACGATTTTTAAAAATGCTGGCCCCTGGGGAAGATCATAGCCTCCCACCATTTACCTACGCCACTGTCACTGTATTCAAACATTAGTATAGATTATTATAATTTTACAGTTTAAAAGGCAACCTCATTTAATCCTCTTTTAAAATCCTATATATTAACTTCGCTATGTTCGTGGGTGGCCGGCAAAATGTTCAGACGGCTAACTGACCCATTTCCCGTAAACCTTTCGAGATGAAACTTGGCACTTGGCTCGTTGCCAATGACAACAAATTATATCAAATTTTAAGCCCCCCCCCCCCCCCCCAATATTTTTTTTTAAACGAGTTCCAGGAAAACACATTTTTCCAAAACGATATATTTAAAGATAGTATTTCGAAAGTAGGCTCTTCGATTGGTCAGTGCTCTGAAGTACACGTCGTTGCCCTGCGCATGCCACTAGATTCAAGTCGGTCAAGAGAACTTATAAACCTGAGTTCAACTGATCTAAACCTTGATGTGTGGTATACAATAGGATGGATTTTGGGTAGTGTACGTACACATTACACGGTACGCACGCTTGCTTGTCTCCCCATGTGTGCGGATTGTGAATTTCTTTCCGTAGCACTCGTTGTTACCTCGGTTGATGGTATCAATAGAAGTGTTCTAAGTTTGTTCTACCCCCTCTCAAAGACGCGTTACTTTTCTGATCAAGACACATTATATCCAACTCAACATCTCCGGTTACGGTACTGTAATACGATTGTCTTGACTTTGATATTGGGGGGGGGGGGCTTTCTAGCTTGTTTGCTACATATGTCCCATATTGTTCTATGGGTTCCCTTGTTGTTACTTGTTTTTTTCCTTTTTTTAAAATTTTTTTTATTGATTGTTGTTGTTTTTTTTCACAAAAAAATCCTTCAATATATATAATAAGAATATTGTTATGATCTGATATTTTATGATGCACTTATTCGATTGATATTTTATGATGCACTTATTCGACCAGGTTGACAACGGCCAAAAGATCGATGAATTCACAAAGAAAATCAAACTTTATAGCCTCCCCTTGAACATTGATTAAAACTCACAAACAGACATCGACATTAGGTCATAGGGCACAGGGAATAGGGTGTGGTAAGCCTGTCAACAGACAAGATAGGTTACATTAGGTCCTGGGAGGCCTGCCAACAGACGAAATAGGTTAGATTAGGTCATGGTAAGCCTGTCAAAATACAAGATAGGTTACATCAGGTCATGGTAAGCCTGTCAAAAGACACGATAGGTTACATTAGGTCATGGTAAGCCTGCTAACAGGCAAGATAGGTTACATTAGGTCATGGTAAGCCTGCTAACAGACAAGATAGGTTACATTAGGTCATGGTAAGCCTGCTAACAGACAAGATAGGTACTTTAGGTCATGGTAAGCCTGCCAACAGACAAGATAGGTTACATTAGGTCATGGTAATCCTGCTAACAAGTAACATAGGTTACATTAGGTCATGGTAAGCCTGCCAACAGACAAGATAGGTTACATTAGTTCATGGTAAGCCTGCCAGCAGACAATATAGGTCACATTAGGTCATGGTAAGCCTGCCAACAAACAAGATATGTTACATTAGGTCATGGTAAGCCTGCTAACAGACAAGATAGGTTACATTAGGTCATGGTAAGCCTGCTAACAAACAAGATATGTTACATTAGGTCATGGTAAGCCTGCTAACAGACAAGATAGGTTACATTAGGTCATGGTAAGCCTGCCAACAGACAAGATATGTTACATTAGGTCATGGTAAGCCTGCCAACAGACAAGATATGTTACATTAGGTCATGGTAAGCCTGCTAATAAACAAGATAGGTTACATTAGGTCATGGTAAGCCTGCCAACAGACAAGATATAGTACATTAGGTCATGGTAAGCCTGCTAACAGACAAGATAGGTTACATTAGTTCATGGTAAGCCTGCCAGCAGACAAGATAGGTTACATTAGGTCATGGTAAGCCTGCTAACAAACAAGATATGTTACATTAGGTCATGGTAAGCCTGCCAACAGACAAGATATGTTACATTAGGTCATGGTAAGCCTGCCAACAGACAAGATAGTTTACATTAGGTCATGGTAAGCCTGCTAACAGACAAGATAGGTACTTTAGGTCATGGTAAGCCTGCCAACAGACAAGATAGGTTACATTAGGTCATGGTAATCCTGCTAACAAATAACATAGGTTACATTAGGTCATTGTAAGCCTTCCAACAGACAAGATAGTTTACATTAGATCATGGTAAGCCAGCCAACAGACAAGATAGGTTACATTAGGTCATGGTAAGCCTGCCAACAGACAAGATAGGTTACATTAGGTCATGGTAAGCCTGCTAACAGACAAGATAGGTTACATTAGGTCATGGTAAGCCTGCCAACAGACAAGATAGGTTACATTAGGTCATGGTAAGCCTGCTAACAGACAAGATAGGTTACGTTAGTTCATGGTAAGCCTGCCAACAGACAAGATAGGTTACATTAGGTCATCGCAAGCCTGCTAACAGGCAAGATAGGTTACATTAGGTCATGGTAAGCCTGCTAACAGACAAGATAGGTACTTTAGGTCATGGTAAACCTGCCAACAGACAAGATAGGTTACATTAGGTCATGGTAAGCCTGCCAACAGACAAGATAGGTTACATTAGGTCATGGTAAGCCTGCTAATAAACAAGATAGGTTACATTAGGTCATGGTAAGCCTGTCAACAGACAAGATATAGTACATTAGGTCATGGTAAGCCTGCTAACAGACAAGATAGGTTACATTAGGTCATGGTAAGCCTGCCAGCAGACAAGATAGGTTACATTAGGTCATGGTAAGCCTGCTAACAAACAAGATATGTTACATTAGGTCATGGTAAGCCTGCTAACAGACAAGATAGGTTACATTAGGTCATGGTAAGCCTGCCAACAGACAAGATATGTTACATTAGGTCATGGTAAGCCTGTCGACAGACAAGATAGGTTACATTAGGTCATGGTAAGCCTGCCAACAGACAAGATAGGTTACATTAGGTCATGGTAAGCCTGCCAACAGACAAGATAGGTTACATTAGGTCATGGTAAGCCTGCCAACAGACAAGATAGGTTACATTAGGTTAGGGTAAGCCTGCCAACAGACAAGACAGGTTACATTAGCTCATGGTAAGCCTGCCAACAGACAAGATAGGTTACATTAGGTCATGTTAAGCCTGGCAACAGACAAGATAGGTTACACGATAAATATTCAAGGTATTGAAAGGGTGGTGCTTGGGTGGTGTGGTGTGTGGTGTAGACGTTTCAGAAAGAAGTGTCACCAATGGTGAGTGGTGGTATTGACAGTAGGTGTCGTCTGGCTCGTTGAGAGACCGAGGCAATCGTATTAATCACACGGTGCCCTGACCTCATGCCCCCCCACCGCCCCCCATGTGCAATTGTTTTTGCACAGTACAATTACACAAGATACAATTATTTTTAAATATGTGGGGGTCCGAAATATGGAAATGGTCGTGGCCCAAATATAATCAGCACGCCCCTGTGTAGTGATGTCCAAGATGGATCTGCTGTTCTTCCAAATTGATAGCTTAAAACCCAGGTCATAACTACACAATTTAGGCTAAATCTATTGATATATAGTTGGATATCACGGGAACAAGGAGACGCAATTTGAGAACCGCTGAAATATTTCATAATGATATGAACTTTAAAATATGCAACTGATATGGTTAGAATGATCAAGTTTTTAGAAGGACAGTGATGAGTGAAAGGTATGAATGCTTGTGTTATAAAATGTGTTATTCATGACCGTGGTAGTGGCGGGGTGCCTACAAGAAATGAATGACACGGATGATTGGTCTTTAATGTGACGGGTAGAGAGAGTAGACATGGCGCCCTGCGCTTTTCAACATTGTCTGGGTTATATGAAAGACACGCGGAAAGGGGGGGGGGGACGACGACACACGGAGCCAGGAGAAAAAACAAGTGGCCATGAGCTGAGTGCAGAAATCTAAGTATTTAAATTCAAGACATATCTTATTCTTATGAAGTACTACCACTTCAGAAGTCTAAGGATTTAAATTCAAGACATAACCTATTCTTATGAAGGACTACCACTTCAGAAATCTAAATGTTTAAGCTTGAGGAAAAAAACAACAACTCAGCTTATCTTTTTTTCAAGTTCCAAAAATAGTTAATACATTATTTTGCATAGTAACGTCACTATTTGTTGTCGTCCCCCCCCCCCCGGTACAATAAAAATTAAAGTAGAATAACAAATACATTTTTTAAATATTGCCTTGTTGATTAATGTGAAGCGGAACTCACACCAATTGATTGTCAGAGAGTCCATCAATTAAACACCGAAATCTGTCCCCATCAAGACTCAGTCGTAATCACAAGACTCCTGATATTTTTGTGCTTTGAAATCAACTTTTTAGTGGAGCCCTACGAGTATCCCAACATTTGTTCAAAACAAATATGTTCGAGGGAAATTTTTTTCGCACGGAAATTTATTCCAACTGAAATTTGTTAAAGAGAGAGTAATTTATTTATTTGTTAAAATGTTGGGTTTTAAAGGGACAGTGCGAGTGAGAAATAGGGAAAATGAAAACTTTTCACATAATATTTATTTTTGTCAAGCTTTTACCATTATTTCATTTCGCACAAACGTCTGTTTGAATGAATTTCCGTAGAACAAGTTTCGTAGAAATCTCCGTGAACCCCTTTTCTTTTACTCCGTAAAACTCGTAGGGAACGTACGTGCAATGTATTTTAAACCTTTTTTGAAATATCAGATATTCAATTGATTACACAAACACATACACACAAATAAACAAAATTAAAGAATTATTTATGAAAGAAAATACAAATTAGTTACACAACATCTTTAATTTGTGGCAGCCTCATGGCGCTTTCTTGGCACCATGCTGACATCTTCCATACTGACACCTTCCATTACTGGCACCTTCCATACTGACGCCTTCCATACTGGCACCTTCGATACCGACACCTTCCATAACGACACCTTCCATACTGGCACCTTCCATACTGACACCTTCCATACCGACACCTTCCATACTGACAACTACCATACTGGCACCTTCCATACTGACTCCTACCATACTGGCAACTTCCATACTGAAACCTTCCATACAGAAACCTTCCATACAGAAACCTTCCATACTGACACCTTCCATACTGACACCTTCCATACTGACACCTACCATACTGGCACCTTCCATACTGACACCTTCCATACTGACACCTTCCAGTACGGTAATGAGAAATGTTGAAGTACCAAAAGAAAACAAAAACAAACAAAAATAATTACATGGAATTAAAAACATCGTTTTAACAACCGGCTAACCTATATCACACATTTTTGGATGGTTTTTATTGATACATTTGCAAGGCACACTTGAATATTGAATAGATTTGTTGTATGGGTGTAATACAACAGAAGGGTAAAACGAGATGAGTGCTGGTCACTGGGACGCAGTGCGCTGATGTTATTTTTATTATGGATAATTTGAAAAGTAAATATGGAAAGCAAAAACTATATACAGTAAAAAAATATACACTAATCGTAATACGTGCTGGCAAAAAACACAGCATCTGTGCTAGACTTCATTCACCATTCTAAAGGATGACAAAAAATGTAAATACTTCTATAATTTATAGGACTAAATTGGTTTTCTCCATAGGTATTAATTTATATTTTAACATTTAATTACTCCTTTATAACAAGTGGAAAGAAATCTTGTAAATATTTCACCTTGTAATTTTTAAAATATGATGTTTGCCTAATTTTAAGGCATTCAGGTTTGTGGGGTTTTTTTTAAGCGGGTTGGTTTGGGGAAGGGATGATATTTTACGATTCGTCTTCACTCTTGAATTGTTATATTCAAATTAATTCTATTTTGTACAACACTACTGGGTTATTGATTATTTTTTTTATCAAAACTAGTCGAGCTACCAGCCCAAGTCATAGAAAGCCGACAGCTTCATATTGCAGCTTTGACAAATCCTGCAACGTTAAATTTTAGTCTCAACGACTTGGGAGATCGTTTAAGCTTGAAACGTCAAAAATTAGTTTCCTGAAGTAATTGGATATTTTTTTAAAGAAGAAAATGGGAAAAAAGACATTTTAAACAATAAAAAAAAAAAAAAAAAGACCACACAAACACAAAAAAAAATAGTTTCCTGAAGTAAATGGATATTTTTTTAAAGAAGAAAAAGGGAAAAAAAACATTTTAAACAATAAAAAAAAAAAAAAAAAAGACCACACACACACAAAAACTAAATACCAGGCTGTGAAACAATTGGTGAGTCCCGAAGTTATGAAACAGTGAGTGAGTCCTGCAGTTATGAAACAGTGAAGCGCGTCATCGCAGCTATGAAACTGTGAGTGAGTCCTGCAACAAATGGATGTAGTAGATGGCCGCCTTCAGCGTCTGAATCCGCGAGAGTTTCTTCTTGTCCTTGATGTTGGGGAGATGCTCCTTGAGGCGGTCGAACGCGACGTTCAGGTGGCACATCCTTCGCCTCTCTCTCATGTTGGCCGCGGACCTCTGGTTCGGCGTCTGTATCCGCTTCCGGCGCCGTCGGCCGTTCTCGGTGGAGACCACGGTGCCGGAGCTGTCGCTGAAGTACGCTTGGCTGCCGTAGCTGTCGGCCGTCTCGTCGGCGTAGCTGTTTTTGATGTTCCCGTTGAGAAAACTCACGTCGTTGTTGTTGTTGTTGGTGGTGGCGGCGGCGGGGTTGGTCACGCAGCTCACGTAATCGCGATTCGCGAAGTTGTTTTCCTGGTGCTTCCACGCGATGTCTGAGTATCGGGCATTTTCTTCTCCCCACTGCTCAGCTAGGTCGCTTTGACCCGTGAACATCCGAGTGCCGACGCCATGGTAGGTCTCCTCCGGGTAGAACTGACCTTTGCCCTGAATGTGGGCGGGGGTCATGGGCTCGAATTTCACGGCCGACGCCAGGAGATTGGTGTACTCGCCATGCTCCACGAGGGTTCCCCTTTCTTCGTTTTGATGACCCAGACCCGGATGTATGGCTTCACTGACAGGGGAGACGACGCCCTGAGCAGCTCGATGGGTCTCGGTGGTGAAGCCGTGCTCCACCACCGACACCCTGTCGTCCTCCGACTTATCCCCTCCCCTGTAGTTTAAACTCGCCTGGGCTCTGCCGTACAAAAACGACGTCTGCTCCTCATACGACCGAGAGAGGGCGTCTCTGTCACAGCAAGGCTCGTCGGTAACGTTCTTAGTTTTCGTGAAAGTGTCCTCCCCGAAAGAATCGGCGTGCTGCGGGTGGGTGCGCTGCTGGCGACTTCTGCTGCTCATCAGGACGTTGACGTTCGGCAAGGCTCCGAGTTTTCCCGAGGCTTCCCGTGTGCAGCTCCTCGTGAACCTATCTGTGGAAGCGTCCATGTCCGGCGTTTTGACATGTTGTCTCCTCTTGTTGTCCGACTGGCTCAACGCTTGAGGTTTATGCCCACAGTTCTGTTTGACCGTGGCTTTCTTTTTCATTTTGGGTGTTTTGTAATGTCGTAAAAAGATTAGGGCCTTTGACCTCAGCGGTTAAGTTAACTATAGAGTTTCTGATAAAGCTTGATATTTTTTTCCTTTGAGTAGTTATAGTTATAGCAACGAAAAGTATATCTGCTATACTTAGATACCACCATCCAAAAAGAATAGTTTGGAAAAGCTAAACTCACTTCAGAAAGCTTATTTCAACAGATTATAAGTTCACAAATCCAGCAGAGTGTACATATACCAATTAGTTCAATATCGCTTTGTTTCTCTCCAAAGAATTCTTAAATTTTGACCACACTCCACAGCCACAGCGAAAAACATTTAGAAACAATAGGACGGATCAGTACTGTTTAATATCGCATAGTTGGTTTCCACAAAGTTATTTCACATATACAAATATTTACCACAATTAACTGAATGCATAAGCCATAAAAAAATATATCCTCTAAGAAAAGACCCTCTGAGAAAAGATCCTGTGAGAAAAGATCCTCTGACAAATGTTTTATCCGCTCAGCCCACTGTATCCATCGCGCAGATCTGTTTCACCACGCTTCTACTTGAGTGTGAAACACCGCGATGAGCTGCGGTACAGGGGCCACGCGTGAATGTGTCTCCGACCAAGTAATGACTGGCTTTTCACCCCACCCCCACCCTCCCCCACCCCCAACCAGACCCCACAACCTGTTTGATGCTAGCTCATTAAAAATCCATACTGCGTTAGGAAATTATCATGACTATATTATAAACGACCGAACCGATGTATTCTGCACGTGCCAGGTGGCGTGAGCGACGCAACTCGGGGGTCAATTTTATTCAATAATCTAGCAGCTTATTTAGTGAAAAGGTCTGTGCGTGTTTTGGGGGGGGGGGGAATTAATGGAGGGTCATATGTTTGCATAATAAAATGGGATGCTTTGGGATGGTACAGTTAAGCTCCTAAAATCCTCTTTTGCTGATAAGAGGAGCTATTTACATTGATTCCATACCCACAACCCTGCTTTAGATCTAGACAGATAGTCCTTGGTTTTCACCCTAAGACAGAGAGAGAGGTGGGGGGAGGGTATTAGAGAGTTACAATGACTTGTCAACATTACTATCGAATTCCATAAGAAATTTGATACTCAATTTTTATGGTCCACAAAGGTAGCTCTCGACGACTTTAAAGATCCCCCATTCACTTTGTGTGGGCCATAGGTCGGCCTAGCTCCTCACACTTTGTGTGGGCAATAGGTCGGCCTAGCTCCATGCACTTTGTGTGGGCCATAGGTCGGCCTAGCTCCATGAACTCTGTGTGGGCCATTGGAGGGCCTAGGGCTCTAGTTTCACACCACCCTGGCCGCCTATTTGGGCCCACTTACAGACTATTAATTATCTGTTTTAAATAAATATTGTGTTGAAAAACACTTTAAAATACTTTATTTGATTAAAACTTTACAATAGTAATAGTTTATTCAATTCAATGTTGTTTTTTCTGATGAAAACACCACAAAGGTTTTCTACAACGCAAAGGTCTTCTACAACATATAGGCCTCCCACAACACATAGACCTCCTAACAAAGGTCTTCTGCAACACATAGGCCTTCTACAACACATAGACCTCCTAAAACACATAGACCTCCTAACAAAGGTCTTCTACAACACATAGGCCTCCCACAACACATATACCTCCTAACAAAGGTCTTCTGTAACACATAGGCCTCCCACAACACATATACCGCCTAACAAAGGTCTTCTACAACATATAGGCCTCCCACAACACATATACCTCCTAACAAAGGTCTTCTACAACATATAGGCCTCCCACAACACATAGACCTCCTAACAAAGGTCTTCTACAACACATAGGCCTTCCACAACACATATACCTCCTGACAAAGGTCTTCTACAACATATAGGCTTCCCACAACACATATACCTCCTAACAAAGGTCTTCTACAACACATAGGCCTCCCACAACACATATACCTCCTAACAAAGGTCTTCTACAACACATAGGCCTCCCACAACACATATATCTCCTAACAAAGGTCTTCTACAAAACATAGGCCTCCCACAACACATATACCTCCTAACAAAGGTCTTCTACAACGCATAGGCCTTCTATACCCTCAAAGACCTCCCAACAAAGGCCTTTAACACATAGGCCTCCTACAATACAAAGATCTCCAATAACACATAGACCTCCTAACAAAGGCCTTATACAACACATAGGCCTTCTACAACACATAGACCTCCTAACAAAGGTCTTATACAACACATAAGCCTTCTACAACACATAGACCTCCTAATAAAGGTCTTATACAACACATAGGCCTTCTACAACACATAGACCTTCTAACAAAGGTCTTATACAACACATAGGCCTTCTACAACACATAGCCCTTCTACATCACATAGGCCTTCTACAACACATAGATTTCCTAACAAAGGTCTTATACAACACATATGCCTTCTACAACACATATGCCTTCTACAACACATAGGCCTTCTACAACACATAGACCTCCTAACAAAGGCCTTATAAATCGTAATGATAACGTCAAATAGAATAGAGGATCGCAGCCCATGTAAAATACATTCATAACTCTCTATAAATCAACGGGTTATATCTAACGTGTGTGCACCATCTGTAAACACACAGCTCCCCCTCCCCCTCCCCCAACACATTTTCCCCCAACCGCAACGGAAAGGCAAAATCTCCGGTAAGGTAGTTGGTAAGTTACAAATATGAGAGAACTGTCCAAAATATTTCGGATATTTGTATATTTTTTTAGTATATATAGACTAAAGCTAAGGATTGGAGATGGAGTTATTTTCCTGTAGCTTACGTGTTACCTTTCAGCTGTCACACATCAGAATGACAATTGTTTTCACCTTCGCACCTCAACTATTTTTTAATATTTTTTTTCTTTAAATGCTAATAAAGATGTTATATCACTATGCAGGTTTCAGTATATCCACATAATTCTTTCGAATATTTCTATCCATGTACCAACAAGTTGACAAGCAAATTGGTTTATGGTAATTTTTTACCAGTGAAGTGGCTTAAACTTGAGGCCCACCATGCTATTTTGACGTGGAGTGGCTCCATGACAAAAATAAAATTAAATTTAAAAACAATATTATTAATAAGGGTTTACCACCTACGGTAAGGTGACCAAACATCCCGTAAAAAACGGGATCATCCCGTTTTTTCACGATCGTACCTGATTTCCCGAAAAAAGTCTCTCGGGACACCTAAATGTCCCGTTTTTAAAACCAAACACATTTCAAATCAATGAAACTTCCTCCATTTATAATTTAACTTCAAGTAATATTTTGGCTACATTTGCTTTGTAGCCAGTGCCAGTAGTGATGTGGGCTCGCGTGATGGCTGCACTGTTCCCCCTCCATCACTCTTCCGAAGCTCATGCGTAAACGACAGTGTCCCTGCCATAGATCTTATATGTAAAGTGAAAGACACGAGACTTGAAACCCGCGGGGGGCGGGGGCGGACGTAACTGCGGAGAAAACAATTTTGATTCCGCTACCGCTACGTGTAATGATGTGAAGGTAAATTTAAAAGATTTCTAGGTATCAAAACAGTTAAAAAGAACATATCTCAATAAAGTTTCCGGCGGCGGCCCCCAAACCCCTCTTTAACTGGACGTATCCCCCCCCTAACAACCCTCCTTGGCATGGGCGCCCGCAGATGGGGGCAAGGGGGCACTTCCCCCCCCCCTCACTGGATTGATTGCATTTAAAAAATTTAGACAAAAATAGACAAAAAATTTATTAAAGTAAAGAGAAAATAAAGAGAAAGTAACTAAGCTGATGTCCTGTCCGTTCGTTCACCATTCAAATACGCTACAGTAAATTAAAGCTACATTAAACATTACTAACATTTTTTTGCCCCCCCCCCCCTTTTNCCCCCCCCCCACAGAAAGTTTTCTGCAGGCGCCCATGCTCATTGGGTGTGTCCCGTTTCTTCCAGTTCATGATTTGGCCACCCTAACCCACGGCCACAGGACACCACACTTTAAGTTAAAACTATTGAGAATGACGTAACCTAGACACTTTTGAATCACTGCTAAAGATATTTCAATGCATGGCGCATCTACAGGCATTCTATGATACTAATAGAACAGCGGTTCTCAACCTGGGGGTCGCACAACGCTTTCCCCAGGGGTCGCCTAAGACCATCGGAAAACACATATACCCTACAGTTATGAAGTATCAATGAAAATAATTTCGTGCCTGGGCGTCGCCACAACATGAGGACCTGCATTAAACGGTCGGAGCATTGGGAAGGTTGAGAACCCCTGCAATAGAAGGAAGGGCGTCTGACTGTGGGGGGGGGGGCTAATTCAGCCTGTGCTAATAGGGTGTGTCTTGTTGAGTAGATAATGATGAAAATATGTTGTTGTTTTTTTTAAGTTAACAAGGGGGGGGGGGGGGGGGGGGGGGGGGGGTGGGGCTAATTCAGCCTGTGCTAATAGGGTGTGTCTTGTTGAGTAGATAATGATGAAAATATGTTGTTGTTTTTTTTAAGTTAACAGTTAACTAGTAAAAGTTGACTGTAAATAAATAGCAAAACAATAATAGTTAATAACCTAATAAAAGTTTATATTTAATAATTTAAAAAAATTTAATTGTTAATAAAAAGTAAAACTTATCAGTTAATAAAAAGAAAACGTAATATTTAATGACTGGTCAAAGTTAATATGTAATGACTAGTAAAAGTTAATATTTAATGACTAGTAAAAGTTAATAATTAATAACAATTAAAAGTTAATGGTTAATAAATAGTAAACAAATGGAATTTTATTTTATTTTATTAAACATTTGAAGAGACAAGATGAACACTTGGGTAGGGCCTGATCAGTGCATGACCTAATACTTTAGGAAAAGAAAAAGTCGCATAAAGACTCAAGGTAATTATTAATTAATTTTTGCAAAACAAAACAAACGAAGATATATTATATTTCAACATAGTAAATTAACTTCTATTTAGAAAATTGATGTTAAAAAAAAATGGTTCCAGTTTGAACATTTTTCTGTTATACTCTCGTATCAATTCTTTCTTTTATAAACTATTTTTTTCTGTTATACTCTCGTATCAATTCTTTCTTTTATAAATTATTTTTTTCTGTTATACTCTAGTATCAATTTTTTCTTTTATAAAATATTGTTTCTGTTATACTCTCGTATCAATTCTTTCTTTTATAAACTATTTTTTTCTGTTTTACTCTCGTAGACTCGTATCCATTCTTTCTTTTATAAACTTTTTTTTTCTGTTATACTCTCATATCCATTCTTTCTTTTATAAACTTTTTTTTCTGTTATACTCTCGTATCAATTCTTTCTTTTATAAACTATTTTTTTCTGTTTTACTCTCGTATCAATTATTTTTTTTTAATGAAAAAAAAAATTTCTTATCGCGTATGGAGGCTCTGACTCCTTACCATATTATATTTCAAAACTACACGAAATCTTTACATATATCATGTAATACAATGGACTATAATCACATGTTGAGGTGTGTCACGGATGGCATCAGCATTTGCATAATGTTAGCAGCGGTTAACATAATAAATAAATAAAACATATTAAAAAACACGAGGGGATAAACCAAACCAACAAAATG